TTGAACTGCACCATGCAGCTCCACACCCGCGCCAGTGTGAGATCGGGCTTTTTGCCGGTTAGCAGCTGATATGGCGTTGTCCCCGGCGGCGTCGTCGACCGCTCCAAGCAGTTGCGCACCCAGACGGCCTGCCGCAGGGGTAGGTGCCACCAGTGGTGCTGCACGCCCATGTGTAGCAGCATCGTCCGCAGGGCCTCGACGACCATACGCATTTCCCGTTCCGCAATGCCTTTCTGCTGCGGGGTGTTGGGGCACGTCACATTGCCCTTGCTGTTAACGAAGTCGGTGAACTCCTTCCCAAGGAACTCCCCTCTGTGGTTAGAGCGAAGAATCAGCACGACTGCTTTGCCTGCTGCTCAGCCACCAGTAGCCACTTCTCAAACTCCTGCAGCACGTCGCTCTTCTTAGCGACCGGCTTCACCCACACGTACCGAGTGTGGCGGTCCTTCAGCAGCAGGAAGTACAGGCTGCCATCCATGGCAGCCACCCGAAACGGCCCGCACAAGTCGCTGTGCACGACTGCCAATGGCTCCCTGCATCCGAACCCTTGTTGGGGAAGGTGTGCTGCGCCACCTTCCCGCCGACGCACGAGACACACGGCAAGTCGGTCCGGTCGACGTCTTGATGTCGAGGCCGATGGCGACTTCATGCTTCGCCGAAATCTTGATGGTGCCGACGCCGATGTGCGCGAGCCTCGCGTGCTACACGTCCGACATCGACTTCGTCGCAAAGGCAATCGTCCGCTGCCACCACCTCAGTCAACGACTGCTTCGTCGAGCGGGGCTGAAGGTCGGTGCAGAGGACGCGAGTGTAGCGTGCTCGACCAAGTACCTCCCCTGTGACCCTGCAGCTTCACGCCCATGTCGTTCAGCTGGCCCGCTGACAGCAAATTCGCTTGCACGCCCGGGTAATAGAGCATATCGGGGATGAGGACTCGTTTCCCGACCTCCCCGTGCAGCGCGACGATGCCGCGGCCCTCGACGGTCTGCAATGCCCCGTTGAAGCCGCACACATGCTTCACGTCGCCGCTCGGCGCCATGTCGACGAAGACCTCCTTCGTCCTTGTGAGGTGGTGCGAGCAGCCGATGTCGAGCAGCACCACCGTCGGGTTCGCTTGCACGGCAGCCGCGGCCGCCTTGAAGTCCTCGCCAGCTTCCGGCGCCAGCGAAACTGTCGGCTGCACAACACCGACCATCGAGCACGACACCTCCCCGTCACCTCGACCCTTGCTGCTGGAGGAGTCGACGTCCTTTGTCGACGACGCCTTCCTCAACGTCTGCTTCTCCTTGCGCCGCTTCTCATCCCGACTTCGACGACCGTTGGCCGACCTCCCGCGGCATTCGTTGTGGTCGTCGTCGTTGTCGGTGTCATCATAGTCAGGACACTTGAAGGAGAGGTGGTCGGGGTCGCCGCAGATCCACTCCCGTCGTCGACCACCACTTCCGCGACTCTTGGCCCGCGTCGACCTGGTCTGGTCGACGTCCAGTGCAAAATTCGGCTACTATCTGAAGGGAGTCTGCGGGGCCGTCCACGCTCACCGCGCCATGGGGAGATTCACTCTACAACGGTGGGAGCTAACTACGGGGAAGGCACGGGTCCTGAGAGTGATCGTAGCGTTTCTTAGTGTTCTCTAGCACTTGTGCATTCACAGAGAAATTCGGCAAGTGTTTCACTAGGGAAAGTTGCATTTCAAAATGATGGCAATCACAAATGGCAAGAATGACTAGCGACCTAGCAACCACGCATGTCGACCGCCAGCACAGTAAGGTCGACAGTCTACCAGCGTTGCGCAGGGGAACCGCGCCAGCACTGCAGAAAGGCGGCTTGCCAACAGAGGAGGTCGACGGCGTGCCAACACTGCAACAAGGTGGACGTCCAGCGTTGCACCTGCAGATGACAGCTGTGCACACGCGCGCACCTACTTCGCAGGTTCCTGGAGACAGTTGGCCCGGCATGCACTGCCACGTGTCCGTCGGCCGCTGATCAGCCACATCGACCTTTCCCAAGGTCGAACCCAATGTCGCCTTCGCCATCGCAGCCTTGACGACGTTCGCGTGCCCCCGCAGAACCTCGCCGAGCAGGTTACCCGGTCGACGGGGTCGACCATCTAGTGCCCTGGTCGACGACCTCCCTCGTGGACCACTCCTTCCGACAAAGAATACCCTGGTCGACGGACCCCTCCATCGACCAACATAGTCAGCTGCTGTCGTCGAACTCCCACTGTCGACAGCCTCCTCGACAGCCTTGCGCAGGTCGACGATCGCCTTCGTCGACCACATCCAAGGCCGGTCGACGAATCCCTTCGTCGACCACGCCAGCCGAACTCTGCCGCCAGCTCCCTGTCGCCGGGGGCCTTGCAACAATCTTCTGCAGGTCGACTAACTCCGTTGACCTGCACGCATCGACCTCTGCGGATGGTCGGCCGCACATCTCGCGCACCCGACCACAACGTCGGCTTCGCCGTAGCGAGGGCGGGGCCAACACTCTATTCGCGTCAACAGGTTTCGCACCACCCGCTCTGATGCCATCCTTTTCCTCCGCACCTCCCTCTCCCCCTTCTACATCCTTATTTATGTGGACGACATGTTCTCCTCACCGCCGACCTTGCTGACCTGTAGTGGGTCAAGGCCGAGTTGGGCAGTCATCTCAAGTGCAAGGATTTCAGAACCCTGCAGCATTACCTGGGCATGACCATCACTCGCAATCGCTTTGCTCGCACCATCTCTCTCTCTGAGGGTCACTACATCCAGCTTTGAAGAAGTTTTACATGGTGTGCGTAGTAGCTTTCATCCCACTCCCCTTCCTATCGAGCACCACCTCTTTCCGCCCTCCGCCCCTTTCTCCTCCTCCCGTCCTTATCCTGAGCTCATCGACTCCCTCATGTATGCCATGGTGTCCACGCGCCCCGACCTTGCCTACTCCATCAGCGTCCTTGCTCGCTTTGTTGACGTTGGCAAGCAGTCAACTGAACACTGGCAGGCCGTTAAGCGTCCTCACCCTCGGCGGCCCCTCGCTACTGCTTCTCAACGGCTACAGTGACTCGTCCTGGGCTGATTCTCGCCCGGATCGTCGCCTCTATCAAGGCTATGGCTTCTCTCTTGGTAGCGGTCTCATTAGTTGGCGTTCCACCCGTTCCTTCGCCATCGCTTTCTCCTCCTGCGAGGCGGAGCTGCATCCGGCCACCATGGCTGCGCAAGAGGCTCTCTGGCACACTTTTCTTCTTGAGGTGCTTGGTGCTCCCGAGCGCTGTCCCACCATTTGGTGTGACAATGCCAGCACCATTCATCTCTCCAAGGTCGCTGTCTTTCATGGACGTTCTAAGCACATTGAACTCCGCCATTACTTCATCCGCGACCTCGTTCAAGTCAGACACTAATGTCGCGGATATCTCGCGGACATAGATTGGTGAGAATTACCATTCACTACACCCGGTTTTTGTTCACTCGCCCTGAGTCGTGACACCTGTTTCTTCATGGTAGTGCCAGCTAGATCTGTATGGATGTACGAAAAGCCAGATCCGCGCGGCAAATGTCATAATTGCACGGACATGTATACTTTTTATGTGTGATGTTGACTACGTTTGACGGTTCGACCTAGTTCGACCCGGACCGGTCCAAGTTTTAGTTTTTTCTCATGCCTAGGTACAACATACCCGTTAGTTATGAGCACGAATGAAATTTGTGGCTCAGCCTGAGGCCGAGCTGGGCCATTGATTTCCTCTGCCGGCCTGCGTCGAACTGGCCTGGGTTTGACTGCAACTAGAGGAGTGGACAAGGAGGAGGAGGTGGTGCATGTGCCAGCAGGTGATGTCGCAGGATTATCACAGTCCTGCCCTACCTAACCTTGTCGGCCCACCAAAACCGTCGGGTCGAACCCGAACGAAGTGCCAATCTTCTTCTATTATTTTTTTCCGAACCCTAGTGTCGTGTGCCTTCTGCCGTGGCTTCAGGACCACATCTTTCTGCCCTTCCTTCTGACACCTCGATTTTAGAATGGATTCCCTTTCCTTAGCCCATTCAATCCTTCTCTTTTTAGACCACTTGGCTTTACACCTCGTTTATGAAAATCACCTCACCCCCATCATATATTTACATTCAATTCAGGTATCTTTTTGAAAATCAGCTTACTGGCTCTATCCCTGCCGAGATTGGCGCAATGACGAAGTTGGTGTTTATGTAAGATTTGTTTACATCGTATCCACAGATTTCCTGTTTTGGCTTGTATCCATTTTTGAAAAACCAATATTCCTTTCCAGGCGGCCCATTTCCACACGTATGCATTGTATGCAGGTTACTGTTGTGTTGAGTATGCTACCAGAGCAGTGTTCTGCACACGTGCCCTCTCTGTAAATTGTGTGTGAATGTGCACTGCACAGGTTCTTCCAGAACAATCGTTTGAGTGGAAGGATTCCTGACTCTTTTGGGGAACTCTTCCAACTACGCTACCTGTAAGCTCACGTGCGGCTGCAATTTTGGAAAATAATGATAGTGTCTACTTTGTTTTCCCTGATGCTAGCATTCTCGTAACACCACGTTCTTTCTAGTGTCAATTCTGAATGCATGGCAATTATGGGAAATCGTATATTTTCTATTTTTTGCTTCTCCATCCAAAATTTCTGGCGTGCGGGCACGTGTGTGGCTTTTTGGTGCTTTGTCCTATGGCATTGGCGTGAACCTCGTGTGTCATGTATTCCGCTCGAGACCCTTCCACTAGGCAGCAAGTGAATATAGCAAGTGAGATATCGAGCGAAATTACAAGTGAAGTCAGCAATTATGTTTTGCAAGTAAATTGCGCAAGTCAATCTAGTTAGCAAGTGAATCTAGTTAGCAAGTGAATCTAGCAAGTAAATCCAGCACGGGAATCTAGTAAGTAAAACTAGCGAGTGAATTCAGCATGTCTGCTCTGCCCTTCATTCACCTACCTAACCTGGTCTCCATCCCTCCTCATCCTCTCCTTCTATCATTCTGGTTGCTCCTTTAACGTACTTCTGTCCAACCACTATGGCCATCAGGTCTCTCGCCTTTAACGAGCTGTATGGGAGCATTCCAACCACTCTCACGCAGGTCACATTCCTATACGACCCACACACTACCTCACTCCTTTTTGCACGCTCTGGTTCTCCATCTTGTACGCACTCCACAAGTCATGCCCTTGCGCTTTCAAATATTCTCCACCTCGACATCTTTTGGGTTGCTTCCTCATCGTCTCTCTTCGCCTCCTACTTCCTCCATCTCGCCCCACTGTTTCCTGATATGCCTCTTGTTCCTTCATCTTCTGCCGCCTCCTCGTCCACCTCCTATTCCCTTGCTCCACTTCTTGTCTACTCCTTGTTTTCCTTTTCTGCCATCCCGTATCCATTCTCTTCTCCTCCCTCATACACACACCCATGCCAACAACCCCTCACACATTCGCCCCTTGAACTCCGCTTTTCCAAGTGTGGGCGCATTGAGATGATCCCTTTGCGTCCTTCTCCTGGCACCTGCCACTCCTCCCTGCAGCGACCTCTCCCACAACTACCTCACAGGACCTGTAGTGATGCCTCCTACTGCACGAACCCTGGATCTCTCCAGCAACTTCCTATCGGGCCCTCTTCCCCACGAGGCTTGCCAGCCTCTCTCTTTCGATGCCAACTGCTTTACGCTGCCGCTTGGCTGTGCCTTGGTGCCGCAATGCATTCTGTGGCGTCTCCTCTACTGCTGGTGCTGCTGCTGCTGCGTGTGGTGGACATGGAGTGTGCTATCCAAAGGGGGCTAGCTTGGCACCCACATGTCTGTGCGACATCGGATTTGTGCAATTTGGAGAGATCAGCTGTGTTGCTCAAGGTAGGGGACACCACTTGAAATCGATGAAACATGAGCACAGACAAATTCACAGAATGGTGGGACGTCCAACTTACATGCCTCAATATTGTTAGATAGAAGTTCCATCTCACGTTTTGTATTAAACCGTTTATGTCCTACTTTAGTGTAGTGGTTTTCATGGTTGGGTGTTACACCAAGATCCTAACCAAACCCAAATGTGTTGAGATATACTGAAATCTCCAAACCCACCATCTGCTTGTTATGTTTGTGCAGGCCAGAACAAGAATTACTCAAGCAGCCAGCCGATTCTCCCGCCAGCATCTATCCTCACCAAGGGAACGAAGCGCGAGACGAGGGGAAACTTCACCGCAGCGCCGGTGACGTTGTTTGTGTACGAGGCAGAACAAACAGCGTTGTGGTGTGGGTTGCAGCTCGCCTTCCACGCCAACTTCACCTTCTCCCTCTCGCCTCGATCTGGCCGCGTGGGCTTCAACGGCTTTGCATTTGTCGTCTCGGCGACGGACCGGGTGGGGAGCGGCGCCGGTGTGGGGTATGGTGGAATGGACACGCGGAGTGTGGCGGTTGAGTTTGACACTCGGCAGGACAAGCAGCACGGGGACATGAGCAGCCAGCATGTGGGGCTGAACATTCGAGGCGAGGACAAGTCGCTAGCCGCTGTGAGGTCGCCCTCCCCTCTGAGCAACAGGAAGGCGTACACGGCGTGGGTGGACTATGAGCCGGGGGACCCCGGCACCATCCAGGTCTTCCTGGCTGACTCGCAGGAGAAGCCGCAGGAGGCACTGCTGGAGAGGAGGCTGGCGCTGTGTGAGGTGCTGCAGGGTGCAGCCGAGCAGCCCGCCTTCTTCTTTGGCTTCGTGGCGTCCACCACTGTGAAGCCGTTTCAGCGGCACGTCATTCTTGAATCTGCAGTGGACACAGGTAAGAAGTGTGCGCTGCTAGAAGGATGAGCTCGGCATGGTGATTAACAATACTGGAGGTCCGTTCTGAAGGATGTCATGGAGGTGGGAACGAGACCGTGAGAGTGGATGGTGATGTAAAGCATCCCGAAGGTGCGGGTAGTTCTGGCGAAGGTGAGGGTAGTGCTGGTGAAGGTGAGGGTAGTGCTGGCGAAGGTGAGGGTAGTGCTGGCGAAGGTGAGGGTAGTGCTGGCGAAGGTGAGGGTAGTGCTGGTGAAGGTGAGGGTAGTGCTGATGAAGTAGAGGGTACTGATGTACGGTTTGTCCAATACATGCAATCTGAAAGTGACTGTATACACGGCGTCTTCTCTCCTCAATCTTATTGCTTTGTGCTTCCCCAGGCCTTCCTGCTTCTCCTCGAACAGCCACACATAATCCAGGTGAGACATCGTCTCCCATGCTTCTTTTGCGTCTCTCGCTACTACCTCTGTTAGATTGGTCATTGACAACAGAGGCAAGCGTTGTTAGTGTCTGACTGTTATGATCATCTTACAATCTGTACAGATGTTTGCCTTCACGTTTGTTTATCATTTCCATCCGTATCCTTCACTCTCCTTCTTAGCATGTTTCATTTTCTTTTGGAGGTTCTTCCTATTTAATTCAGTACATTAGGTGAAACCAGGAAGAATAACCAAGACGACGTGGTTGATGGTGCTCAGCAGTGCACCTTAATCCCAAGCAATTTGTCCCTAAGCGAACTGGGAAAATGAGAAGCCGAGTAACTACGATTCCAGCAATGTAAGGGCAATGCACCCCAGCCAGCTGTACTTATTATCCCTCTTGTAACAACGTGTCTATTTCACAGCCTATGGCCTGCAGTTATCAACTAACACCTACATGCCAGCATGGGCCAGCCCCTTCCCGCGCTACGTGAGTGCGGACTACCGATTGGCGCCCTGCAATCAGGACTCGTGGGTCATCAGTGACTTCCATTCCTGGGACTCTGTGCCCTTCCTTGGCTGGCCTGTTAAGGACCAGAAAGATTGCAGTGAGTGTAACCATTGAAAAGCATTTTGAAGCTGATAGCTTGGCTGGTTTGTCTTGGCTGGTTGCTACAATCTGCATATTTCCGTTTGCCATTCTGCTGCTGGTCACTTTCATGTTTCAACTATCACACGATGCTCCGCTCAAAACGTGTTTCCACCATTTTTCAGCCGTCATCGCATCGGCTTCAATTATTCATGAAACCGGTTTCATCACCCCAGGTGCTTGCTGGGCGTTTGCGCTGGTGGCGAGCGTGGAAGCAGCATACGGCATTGCAATGAATGCAGAGGCGCCGCAGCTGTCAGTGGAGTCACTCTTTGCAGCCATGGGGCTCACCTCCGAAGCTAACAAGTGCATCACGGGGGGCTCCCCCACTGAGGCATTTGAAAGGCTTCTCATTTTGCCTCGTGGTGGAGTCACAGAGGCTGGATTACCTGTGAGCAGTGTGGTGAAGTGAAAGACTAGAATGTGTAAATTTTCATGAGAGATTTGGGAATTTTGAGTGGTGTGCCTGATGTTGAGAGATTTGCGTCTATACAACAACTGGTGATATGAGGAGACTCTCTCAGTAGTTGAAGCCACTGTCAGCGGTTGTAACGAGTTGAACTAATGTCCTGATAGCATGGGAGTGCCCCTGAAATCTGATACGCAATAGTGGATTGGTTGAGCCAGGGCCAAGAGGCCAAGTTTTGGCAGCAAGAGGCAAACAGCTTCTACGAGCTAGAGGAGGGCCGAGCCAAGATATTTGGGTGCACAATCATTTTGTAATGCACTCTCAACATTTTACTGCTTGCTATAACTGGCGCCTAGAATTTTCAGCAAGCATAATTTTGTTTTCTATGGAGCACTTCTTTTATGTTTCTCTCTCTTCCTTCCTATCTGTAATGAAATCCCCTCTGAAATATTCATCTTCAGAAGGAGTACCCTATTCACGGCTTTGAGGGTACTCGGTTCAAGGGATTTGTGGGGCTCATGCTGGCAGTGCGACGACAGCCAGTGATTGTTCACATTGAGGCTTCTAATCCGGAGTTTGCACAATATGCTGGGGTGGGTGTTTTGTGTGTCGACCCGTCATGCTGTACTGTACACAAGCTGTCAAGAGTTGCACACAAGTTGTTACCCGCATTAAGCTGTATGCCTGAAGGGGTTGCTTGTTGTTTGTCGTTTGTTGTGTGCCCTCTTTCTCTTCAGACCTTCAAGTACCAGAATCCTGGTTGCTATACCGGCAGACTCAACCACGTTGTCCTCGTTATTGGCTACTTCATCTGGAGAAATGACGGGAGCCAAAATCGCATTGCACCTCCATTTTGGATCATCCGCAACTCATGGGGAGTGGAGTGGGGCGACAGGGGCCACATGCGCATGGACATTCAGGGAGGGGATGGCGTGTGTGGCATCAACGTGCTGCCTGGCATCTACCCCATTGTCAAGAGTGAGGCACCTACCTCATTGTCTTAGATAGGGCACCTTACCCCACCACTCTCTCCATATCTCACCCCCCCTTTCCAGTACTTCAAGGAATCAACTATGTTTGGGCCAGGATTAGATCCAAAGAGCAAGCATTGTCAGACGAGGGAAGAGAGTGTGAGCCAGTGGTGTCCACAAAATTGTAAGGTGGTCAATCGCCAACGCGCGGTTTCCATATGTTACATCTGTCATTTGGCTAAGGCTTGTCTTTTCCTGCCCACTGTCTTTTTCAAAGCTGCATGCGCACATGTTTCTACTCCTCCTGTTCTCGTTTGTACCACCCTCCAGTCCCCAAGGACCCTTGCGGCCAGAGGAGCTTCAAAGGCGATGGTGACTTGCAGCCCAGCATGAACCCGTGTGGGCGGTTCACATGCCGGGCTAACCTACGGAACAACAGCAACTCGTGTGACTGTTCCATTTCCAACGAATCTAAGCAGCCATTTGTTCAAGTTGCAAATGGATATGGCTCCCAGACGTGTGCTTACTGTAAGTTGTAAACTTACCGTTGTCAGAACAATGGCCGTTTTCAGAACAATGGGCATCTTCAGAACCGGCGTTGTCAGATCAGAACAATGGGCGTTTTTAGAATTATGGGCTTGTTCAATCGTTAGACATTCTTTCAACCAATCCCCTTTCAATATCGATCTGGAGTTCTATCTCTCCGTTTCATCCATGCCCTCATTACTCCCATTTCTCCCAACACATGTGTCTCTTACCGGCGTGCTTGTGTCGAGTGGTAGTGGATGTGTGTGGATCTGACTTGAAGAACCCGTGCTACGTGGGCGCATGCATCAATGACGGCAAGGGCTCCTACTCCTGCATCTGCCCTCCGAACTACGTTGAAAGCACAACCATTGACAGCTTCCCCATCTGCGACCCAGGTGCTGTTCGTTTGGCCTTGTTTGTATGAGGGTGGCTACCCCTTTCATGAATCATATGTTGGGGTCATTACAACCCCTGCAAACGCTTCGAGCTTGAAATTTCTATTCTTGTGATGCACACACAGATAGTTGGATTACTCTCATTGAAGCCTTCCTTATGGGTGTGATCTCCTGCTTTCACGTTTGTCCCTTTCCAGCCAACGCCACAGCCAGCACCCTTGTCGTGAGAGGGAGCAACTGGTGGTGCTCCGATGTCCTCCCTATTGTGGGCCTCTCACTTTCCCAATTCACACAGCAGAATGTGGTAAGCAGTGCAGATGGAGAGGCAAGAGGAGTGGAGAGGCAGACAGGGCTAGTGTTAGATCAGGAGAATTGTATATCCCATATTTCCGAGGACCCATACTATCTACACCTACATATAACAGCTTAATCTTCCTATGTCCATTTACTTGCTGACCCATTATGCTAACAGGATGCCATCCCCTAAACGGTTGATTGAAGAATTATCTGTGCTCCTCGTTGCAGGGCATTGACTGCAATCATACATTGCCTCGTAACATGGTGCTTCAGCTGGGAAGTCCTCTCCCCGTTCCCTGCACTGCGTTCTTCTACACTCTCAGTGTGAGAGTTAGCCCTTACTTATCTTCTATTTATGTAATCTTGTAAAATTATTCCTCTAGATTTCCCCACTCCGCTTCGCTGAGCTCCACAAGACTGTTGCATAGTAAAGCTGCACTCCATTCACCTCAGGCACCTGTAACTTCTCTCCCGTTGTTCAACCCTTCAGGGTGACACATGCTGGTCCATCAGCGCGCAGCTGTTCCTCACCACCAGCAACCTCACGACACTCAACCCCGGCCTCGACTGCTCTGAGCCCATCAAAGCAGGCCGCTCTCTGTGCATCGAGCGTAATGCCACCTTCGCCTTCACTGTGCCTCAGTGCCTGCGATACGGCGTGCTCACAGCACAGGACACATGTGAGCGCCTGCTGCTGTAGGTGGCGGGGAGTAAGGACGACCCATCGGGGGCTGAGAAGCTAAACACCATGCGCTGGGCTGAGCTGTACCGCAACAATCCCGGCTTCATCTGCTCGAGTGTCATCCCGGTCTCAGCGTCTGCTGTTGGCAGCAATACTGGCGTGCAGGTGAGGGGTGAAGGGGAACCGGCTTAGGGGTGCAAGAGATGGGAAGGATATGGAAGGATAACCGAATGTGGGTGGACCGAATGTACGGTATTTTCGATGGGTGAGTGGGCAGGGAGTAATTTCGCTTATGCCGGAGAGTGTTTTTTCCAACAATATTTGCCCTTGATTGTTCGTTGAGTGCGTGCCTGTCACATTCTCTCAATCCATGTTCCTTTCATTTGTTGTGTTTGTAAATGTTGCCATTTCAGATTTGTCTAAGAGCAGAGTATTGGCCATTCGTTGTTGGCATATGCAAGAAGGGCAGGCAAAAACCAGTGTCACCGTCATTGACATGCTCGGGTGCTTACAGCTTTTATGGTGGAGCTGCGAATGGAGCAATTTCGAAATATTATGTGTACAATGAGAAGAAGTGCGTTGGGAGTGTAGGGTCCAAGTTCATTTGTGTGCCATGATTAGGACCTCGGATGGGTATGGACTTCTCTGTTCATATGATACTGCATTGTTGTAAATCTAATGCACAATACCCGTATCCCCCCCAATATAAGACCCCCGGGTCTTATGATAAATTCCTAAAAAAAATATAAGGGGGGGGGGGGGGGGAGTCGGGGGGGGGTTGTTAACAACGGAGAAAATATATGTACATAAATATACCACCTGGGTCTTTTCAAGTGGCAGTTTCTATTTTTTTTTTTAACACTGCAGTTTATTCTGAAGTTGGGAGTTGCTTTTGGTGAGCACCAAGCCAGCAAAACATTGTTCACTTTGAATGCTACCATGTGGACTTGACCAGTCACAACAAATTCGCTTCTCACAGCAAATTCGCCCCTGACCTAGCACATTCGCCCACTCGACACAACAAATCCCCCCCCTAACACACAAATTTGCCCCTTGAATCTTTGGATTGCCCCTGGCAAAGCAAATTTCCCCCATGTCTCCCATCTTCCCTAACCTCCCTCTTCTTACGGCACTTCCTTCTTTCTTATCTCACCCCTGCTTCACCCTTCCCCCTCTTCCTTATCTCCCCTACCTCCCCTGTTTGACATTTTTCTTGTTCCCCCTCCCCATCCCTCGTATTCCCTCCCTCTCCCTGGCTATTCCAGTGACTACACTGAAGATTCTTCTGGTACTGCAACTCGCCTCAGCCCATCATCCCATGCCATGCTCGTAGAGAAACCAGTTCCCCTCATGTTGTTTTGAAGGCCTTGAGAAAGGTACAATCGAAAGTATTAGGACCATGCCTCTATGTACCCTTCTGATAATGCATCTTGGAAGAATATCTTCCACTGCAGAAACAAAATTACATAGTGTGCCTTTGAGATGCATATCTCCAACAGTGATACAGTATCATGCTTGCATACAACACACAAGAAACAGGTGGTGCTACGGTGTAAAGCATCGACTAGCTGCGCCTCAGCTTCCTGCTCTGCTTCACCACTGGAACATGGGGGAGGTGGTGTGAGGTGCATGGGAACAATGGCAAGGGGATACAAGCAAGAGCACATGATGAAAGCATGTGTGGTGAGGAGTGAGGGGGAAGGGGAGGGCATGAAAAGGAAGGGAAGGGTTGAGAAGGGATGGGGAAGGGAAGGACAGGACAGGGAGGTAAAGGCAGGGATGGGGAGGGCAGGTGGGAACAGGGCAGAGGGTGGGGGGAAGGAGGGCTGAGGGTGGTGAGAGTGCGAGAGGACGGGGAGAGAGAGTGCAAGAGGACTGAGAGCGAGAGAGTGTGGGAGGAAGGAGAGTGAGAGTCAGGGTCCAAGGAGAGAGAGAGAGTGCAGGAGAAGGGAGAGAGAGGAATGGGAGTGTGAGGGTGGGAAGGAATGTGAGAAGGTGGGTAGGAATGAGAGGGTGGGAAGGAAAGAGAGAGGGTGGGAAGGAAAGAGAGAGGGTGGGAAGAAATGAGTTAGGGTGGTAGGGAATGAGAGAATGAGGGAAGGAATTATATGTGGTTGTGAAGGAATGAGTGTGGGTGGGAAGGAATGAGGGTAGGTGCGAAGGAATGTGAGTTGGCGGCAGAACAGAATGGGAGAGGGTGCGCGGAACAGAATGAGAAAGGCTGGCCGACGCGAAGCGTCCGCACTTGCGACAGGCATTTTCCCAACGAGCAAGGGTGTCGAGCATGGGAAATACGAGCGACAAAGGGAACTGCCAGCGATAGGGAGAGGAAGGACACCTAGAGAGGGAGTGGAAGGACACAAGGAGAGGGAGGTTATGGGGGGAAGCAGGGAAGGGGATGGGGGGAAGCAGGGAAGGGGATGGGGGGATGCAGGGAAGGGGATGGGGGGAAGCAGGGAAGGGGATGGGGGGAAGCAGAGGAGATGGGGGGAAGCAGGGAAGGGGATGGGGGGAATGAAGGAAGGGGATGGGTGGAAGCAGGGAAGGGGATGGGGGGAAGCAGGGAAGGGGATGGGGGGAAGCAGGGAAGGGGATGGGTGGAAGCAGGGAAGGGGATGGGGGGAAGCAGGGAAGGGGATGGGGAGAAGCAGGGAGGGGATTGGGGAAAAGCAGGGAAGGGGATGGGGGGAAGCAGGGAAGGGGATGGGGGGAAGCAGGGAAGCGGATGGGAGGAAGGAGGGAAGGGGATGGGGGGAAGGAGGGAAGGGGATGAGTGGAAGCAAGGAAGGGGATGGGGGGAAGCAGGGAAGGGGATGGGGGGAAGCAGGGAAGGGGATGGGGGGATGCAGGGAAGGGGATGGTGGGAAGCAGGGAAGGGGATGGGGGGAAGCAGGGAAGGGGATGGGGGGATTGAAGGAAGGGGATGGGTGGAAGCAGGGAAGGGGATGGGGGGAAGCAGGGAAGGGGATGGGCGGAAGCAGGGAGGGGGATGGGTGGAAGCAGGGAGAGGGATGGGGGGAATCAGGGAAGGGGATGGGGGAAGCAGGGAAGGGGATGGGGGGAAGCAGGGAAGGGGATGGGGGGAAGCAGGGAAGCGGATGGGAGGAAGCAGGGAAGGAAATGGGGGGAAGCAGGGAAGGGGATGAGTGGAAGCAAGGAAGGGGATGGGGGGAAGCAGGGAAGGGGATGGGGGGAAGCAGGGAAGGGGATGGGGGAAAGCAGGGAAGGGGATGGGGGGAAGCAGGGAAGGGGGTGGGTGGAAGCAGGGAAGGGGATGGGGGTAAGCAGGGAAGGGGATGGGGAGAAGCAGGGAAGGGGATGGGGAAAAGCAGGGAAGGGGATGGGGGGAAGCAGGGAAGGGGATGGGGGGAAGAAGGGAAGGGGATGGGGGGAATGAAGGAAGGGGATGGGTGGAAGCAGGGAAGGGGATGGGGGGAAGCAAGGAAGGGGATGGGCGGAAGCAGGGAGGGGGATGGGTGGAAGCAGGGAGAGGGATGGGGGGAATCAGGGAAGGGGATGGGGGAAGAAGGGAAGGGGATGGGAGGAAGCAGGGAAGGAAATGGGGGGAAGCAGGGAAGCGGATGGGAGGAAGCAGGGAAGGAAATGGGGGGAAGCAGGGAAGGGGAGGAGTGGAAGAAAGGAAGGGGATGGGGGTAAGCAGGGAAGGAGATGGGGGGAAGCAGGGAAGGGGATGGGGGAAAGCAGGGAAGGGGATGGGGGGAAGCAGGGAAGGGGATGGGTGGAAGCAGGGAAGGGGATGGGGGTAAGCAGGGAAGGGGATGGGGAGAAGCAGGGAAGGGGATGGGGAAAAGCAGGGAAGGGGATGGGGGGAAGCAGGGAAGGGGATGGGGGAAAGAAGGGAAGGGGATGGGGGGAAGCAGGGCGGCGGATGCGGGGGAGCAGGGAAGGGGATGGGGGGAAGCAAGGAAGAAGATGGGGGGAAGCAGGGCAGGGGATTGGGGGAAGCAGGACAGCGTATTGGGGGAAGCAGGGAAGGGGATGGGGGGAAACAGGGCAGGGGATGGAGGGAAGCAGGTAGAGGGTGTGGGGATGATGGGAAGCAAGTCAGAGGATGAGAGGAAGCAGGGCAGGGGATACGGGGAACAGGGAAGGGGATGGGGGGAACGGGGGAGCAGATGCCGGGGAGAGCTCAACAAAGAATAAGGGACCCCAAAAACACCGAAAGGGCCACTATGCGCAGGTATTCGCAAAAAGAAACAAGTTTGCGAAAGGCTGGATGAATGGTTGGGAGGGATTGGAAACAGTTTGATATACCGTGAGAAGTGCACATGTTTGCAAACCAATTCGCAGGCGTATGCTGATTGGTTGCGCTACTCTGAGACTAGCGCGTGCTGATTGGCCGCGATACCCTGTGACAAGCGTGTCCTGATTGGCCGCGCTACTTTGAGGCAAGCGCGTGTTGATTGGCCGCCTGGTATTTTGGCGTGCCGTTCTTACAAGTTTCTCGATATTATAAAGATGTTTTTTCTTAGGGTATGCTTGCAAGTTCCACTCGCTACTACAGAGATGAGGTGTACTTGTGGATAACGAAAAGGGTGTGACACGTCAGTATGAGCCCATCCTCCATGTCGCGAAGTTTTTTTACAGCGCATACTGAGCACGTGTTTTGCAATCCCACGATTAGCAACTATGAGCAGTAGTAAACTCCTCGCCACTCAACTCGTCAATTCGCGAGCCTCTGCTTTAGCCCCATCCGTGCTATGTTGGCACAGCTGGCAAGCTTATCGGCTGCTGAACCGAAAGGAGGGGCCTTGAAGTGGCCCAGTTTCAAGCACCAGATTCATTGTGTGCGTCGATCGTTCCCATACTTACGACTCCCAACCTCTCAATTTCCCAAGGTAGTACCTTGGTTTCCTTGTGCTCTTGCTCAAAATAATCTCACAGTGAGCCCCTTAGTAACTATCTGCCCCGCCCATTCGACTATTGTTTTACGAAGTTTGCTTACTAACTCTCCGGCCCTCCCGTTTCTTTTATTTTACCACCCCGCCCGCTCTCTCAAACAGATTACTATGTCATCGACAGTTCGCACTGTGTGTGGCTTCTAGCGGCAAGGTGTTCACCACTGATATAACACCTCGCTACCCACTGGGTCAAAACGAGGGTGTTATTTGGCGCAGCGGAGTGACCTTAACACAGCCCACAGGCGTTACATTCGTCCCCCCCTGGTTGCCAACGTCCCCGTTGGCCCTCAACTTTAGAGAGTCGGCCCCTCCGCAAGGACCTCCCTGGATCGTTTGTCGGGTTTGACCTGGTTATAACCACAATTCGGTTCTCGCCAAAGGCGGAAATTGTGGTCCAGCCGGGATTCGAACCCTAGGCTCTGATACCAGTATAACACATCGCTACCCACTGGGTCAAAACGAGGGTGTTATTTGGCGTAGCGGAGTGCCCTTAACACAGCCCACAGGCGTTACAACTGTCGTGCACTACAACGACGGGTGACAGGCGCGACAACTACGGAGAGCGACGAGCGCGACTACGACGGCGAGCGACGAGCGCGACTACACCATCCGCAAATTCCCCTCCGCCGCTTCTCACCAGCTCAGCGCACAACATGCGCTCACGCACCCGCGCCATCCCCGCCACCTGGTACCTTTGACTCAATTGTGCGCCTGCTCGAGGTAGGGTTTCTCTGAGCCACTTTCTTACTCTATGGACCGCCACATTTGCTATTTTTTAAGCTAATTCGTGTGGCTAATCTGCAGAGTCCTTGACTGACAATTGGAATGTACAGAGCCATGGCACGCGTGTCTTAAGCATTCTCTCAAGTTTAACTACGAGCTAAGTCATCAAGTTGGACAGCACTGCATCAACTAGCATATCCGTGGGTATTGTCGAAGCGTTTTTCTGCTTGCTAAGTGGTTGCTTTTCACCCTTAACCCGCTGCTTCGTTTGTGTATTGAATGTGTGTGAGCAATGTGCAGCTTGTGGTCTTACATTATTTGGTAATGTTTTTTCATATGCGTATATGCTGTTATAGGCGTAGATGCCATTGCTTAAAACACTGTACACTATTTCAATTAATGACGTCACAAATTTTCATAGTCACATCTGGTTTAAGCACATAAAATAATAAGAAAAGGTACTCGTAAGCTTATGCAGTTTTTAGTGTATTTACAGCTTGTTGTTATACCTTTATCGGTGTACCCGGTACATCTTTTTACAATCCTCTTCCATTGAATGTGGAAACCACAAACAATCCTTTCGAAGTATCCCAAGAGTTACATTGAAATTACCCACCCTTTTCATGTGCAATGCGCATAGTAAACCTAAAAGTGTGTTCCCGCGAGGTACTTCGAACATAGATCGCACAAAGTGCTTTCATTGTTTTTGGCCCGATTTTTTTGTTGAGAGAGCTGGGAGGAGGATGGTGGGGAGCAGAGAGGGGTTTGAAACGCTGTTGGGGTGGCGGAGGCGACAACGGGAGGCGAGGGCTTAGAGGAGCAACTGGGGCAACGAGTTGCTGTGCGTGACGTCGGTTCTAATGGGTGATCTACCCTGGAGCGTGAGTGAATGGTTGAGCGCGGGACGAGGGGAGGAGAGCGCGTGACGAGGGGAAATGCGCGTGACAGATGGAAACGTGGCGACGAGGGGCCATGCACGTGACGAGGGGAAACGCGCGTGACAAAAGGAAACGTGCGCGACGAGGGGACGAGGGGGCAGATGCCGGGGAGAGAATGCGTGACGAGGGGCCATGCACGTGACGAGGGGAAACACGCGTGACAAAAGGAAACGTGCGCGACGAGGGGACGAGGGGGCAGATGCCGGGGAGAGAGCGCGTGACAACGGGAAGCACGCTACGTGGGCAGGCTGGGGCAGGCGCGAGTGACGAGGGCAGGCGCGAGTGACGAGGGCAGGCGCAAGTGACGAGGGCAGGCACAAGTGACGAGGGCAGGCGCAAGTGACGAGGGCAAGCGCGAGTGACGAGGGCGCGCGAATGACGAGGGCAGGCGCGAGTGACGAGGGAAGGCGCAAGTGACGAGGGCAGGCGCGAGTGACGACATCCCAAAAATGCCAAGGCTCGCGGGGTATGTTTCCCAGCGATACTTCGAAACATACCCCAACCCCCGCATGCATTTCATTGGTACCATCACGTGGGGGTTACGTGAGGGTATGTTTGGATTGTGCGGCACGAGGTTCAAAATTGCGCGAACGTAATTGTTTTGGCTCGGGATGTCTGCATCAATTGAGTAGCTTCTCAGTGGCTCGGGCTCGAGCTCTTGCAACCGAACGTGAGTTTCACCTACATATAAATATTGCCAACGGTACAGTCAAGTACATTTTTGTGAACTTGTAAGCCGTTTGTATTCGTAATTGATATTTTATCATCTTGCAACAATTGTACCTTGTTGTGTCGGGTTGAATTCATAAACCGTCATAGGTAACATTGCAATAATCTCTTTCATACTTTATCGTCATAGTACCAATAAGATTTAACGTAATTGGCATTTCAGCATTCGAGTAACGCATATTCTCATGCTTACACTACGATGTTTCATTACAGTAGAATTGCATCCGGGATGTGCATTAGAAGATGAACTATCACCAACCACCAGCCCTCCCCACTTCGCTTGAACTGTGAACTCAGGAGTCGCACAACCCTGTGGCACAAGGGGTGAGTGGACATTTCTGTTGAACTAAATGCCACATATATACATTGTTTACAATTCATAAAGTCTGATTGTCACACCCACGGTATGCCCCTGAATGACTGCGCACGTATTCGGTGACTTAATCGGCGATGTCGGTGTTATACTGGTACAGCATGGCGTCGTCATAGTACTCAGCGCAGAAATAGGTGTCAAACCACGATAGAAACTTGCGCAAAACTTTTATCTCAGCGTCATTAAAGATTCCCTCAACAATGAAGATAACGATCTGTCAAAACAGTAAACGACAGAGGGATAAAGGGGATGGGAAAAGGGGTAGATTGATCATTCGTACGTTGTCTATGCCTCTTCCACCATGCGTCATCGGAACTCTCATCTCAGCCCATGCCTCGAATCCCCCATGCCTCATCGGAACTATCATCTCAGCCCATGCCGCGAATCCCCCATGCGTCATCGAAACCATCATCTCAGCCCATGCATCAACTCCCCCATGCCTCATCAGAACCATCATCTCAGCCCATGCCTCAAGTAACCCATGCCTCCTCGGAACCATCATCTCGGCCCATGCCTCAACTCCCCCATGCCTCATCGGAACCATCGTCTCAGCCCATGCCTCAAATCCATTAGGATGCCTCATCGGAACCATCATCTCAACCCATGCCTCAAATCCCCCATGCCTCATCGGAACCATCATCTCGGCCCATGCCTCAGCTCCCCCGTGCCTCATCGGAACCATCATCTCAGCCCATACCTCAACTCCCCCATGCCTCCTCGGAACCATCATCTCGGCCCATGCCTCAACTCCGCCATGCCTCATCGAAACCGTCATCTCAGCCCATGCCTCATCTCCTCCATGCCTCATCAGAACCATCGTCTCAGCCCATGCCTCAAATCCAATAGGATGCCTCAACGGAACCATCATCTCAGCCCATGCCTCATCTCCCCCATGCCTCATTGGAACCATCATCTCAACCCATGCCTCAAAACCGCCATGCCTCAACTCCCCCAAGCCTCAAAGCCCCCATGCGTCATCGGAACCATCATCTCAGCCCATGCATCAACTCCCCCATCCCTCATCGGAACCATCATCTCAGCCCATGCCTCAAGTAACCCATGCCTCATACTGAACCATCATCTCAGCCCATGCCTCAATTAACCCATGCCTCCTCGGAACCATCATTTCGGCCCATGCCTCAACTCCCCCATGCCTCATCGGAACCATCGTCTCAGCCCATGCCTCAAATCCATTAGGATGCCTCATCGGAACCATAATCTCAAACCATGCCTCAAATCCCCCATGCCTCAACGGAACCATCATCTCAGCCCATGCCTCATCTCCCCCATGCCTCATTGGAACCATCATCTCAACCCATGCCTCAAAACCGCCATGCCTCAACTCCCCCAGGCCTCAAAGCCCCCATGCATCATCGGAACCATCATCTCAGCCCATGCATCAACTCCCCCATGCCTCATCGGAACCATCATCTCAGCCCATGCCTCAAGTAACCCATGCCTCATACTGAACCATCATCTCAGCCCATGCCTCAAATAACCCATGCCTCCTCGGAACCATCATTTCGGCCCATGCCTCAACTCCTCCATGCCTCATCGGAACCATCGTCTCAGCCCATGCCTCAAATCCATTAGGATGCCTCATCGGAACCATAATCTCAACCCATGCCTCAAATCCCCCGTGCCTCATCGGAACCATCTTCTCAGCCCATGCCTCATCTTCCCCATGCCTCATTGGAACCATCGTCTCAGCCTATGCCTCAAATCCATTAGGATGCCTCAACGGAACCATCATCTCAGCCCATGCCTCATCTCCCCCATGCCTCATTGGAACCATCATCTCAACCCATGCCTCAAAACCGCCACGCCTCAACTCCCCCAAGCCTCAAAGTCCCCATGCGTCATCGGAACCATGATCTCAGCCCATGCATCAACTCCCCCATCCCTCATCGGAACCATCATCTCAGCCCATGCCTCAAGTAACCCATGCCTCATACTGAACCATCATCTCAGCCCATGCCTCAAATAACCCATGCCTCCTCGGAACCATCATTTCGGCCCATGCCTCAACTCCCCCATGCCTCATCGGAACCATCGTCGCAGCCCATGCCTCAAATCCATTAGGATGCCTCATCGGAACCATAATCTCAACCCATGCCTCAAACCCCCCATGCCTCAACGGAACCATCATCGCAGCCCATGCCTCATCTCCCCCATGCCTTATTGGAACCATCATCTCAACCCATGCCTCAAAACCGCCATGCCTCAGCTCCCCCAAGCCTCAAAGCCCCCATGCGTCATCGGAACCATCATCTCAGCCCATGCATCAACTCCCCCATGCCTCATCGGAACCATCATCTCAGCCCATGCCTCAAGTAACCCATGCCTCATACTGAACCATCATCTCAGCCCATGCCTCAAATAACCCATGCCTCCTCGGAACCATCATTTCGGCCCATGCCTCAACTCCTCCATGCCTCATCGGAACCATCGTCTCAGCCCATGCCTCAAATCCATTAGGATGCCTCATCGGAACCATAATCTCAACCCATGCCTCAAATCCCCCGTGCCTCATCGGAACCATCCTCTCAGCCCATGCCACATCTCCATGCCTCATTGGAACCATCGTCTCAGCCCATGCCTCAAATCCATTAGGATGCCTCATCGGAACCATCATCTCAGCCCATGCCTCATCTCGCCCATGCTTCATCGGAACCATCATCTCAACCCATGCCTCAAATCCCCCATGCCTCAACTCCCCCAAGCCTCAAATCCCCCATGCGTCATCGGAACCATCATCTCAGCCCATGCCTCAACACCCCCTCCTCTCGGCCCATGCCTCAACTTCCCATCCTCTCAGCCCATGCCTCAAATATTGTATCATCTCATCTCATGCCTTAACTCCCTCTCCCCTCAGCCCATGCCTCAACCCCTCCTCCTCTCAGCCCATGCCTTAACTCCCCCTCCCCTCAGCCCATGCCTTAACTCCCCCGCCCCTCAGCCCATGCCTCAAATCCCCGTCATCTCATCTCATGCCGAAAACACCCCCTCCTCTCAGCCCATGCCACAAGTCCCCTCCTCTCGCTTTGTTCCTCTCGTTTTCACCCTACCACCATGCCTACCCCTCTCATGCCCCTTCTGAAAGTTTCTCCTTGGATCCCTATCCTACCGCCTGTATCACCCATGCTGCACACTCACATCTCTGGTTCCGCAACTCACCCTGGCCATGGGGTACCGTGCGGATTAGACAACGTACCCACATCATGCCAGCGTGCTCCGCAGCCGAATAGTTGGCTCCACCGCTGAATTAGCGTCCCGGGGGGGGCGACCTTGTAGCCTGCCATAACCGCCTCACGGTACGCAGACGCATGCCTCCTGCACAAGCAATCTCAAATATGAGTTCCCATGAATACCAACTGTGATAAAGAACGACTAGACAATGGAACTCACTCATTGAAATTCTTCACGGACTTGGGATGGGCAGTCCTGATGTATTCCAGGATGTACAACCAGATCTCAATGAAGATAACATGCAAAATATCCGGCATGATGCACTTATACGGGTTTCCCCAAGGTGATTGCAAGTCCTCTGTCCTGCCAAAGTTCCACAGAAAACACTGTACACGAGACAAAAAGAATTTGGTCCACGAGGTGGTTGATCATACCATGGATACTACCGTCATATCGGATGGCGTACCTTGACCATGTGTGTTGAGTTTTGTTGAGCTACAGTCTCGTTCGCAGCAACACCTTGTTGATGACAGACGGTCCTCCGATCGTTGTTCAGCGGATCCTTGTGTGCAAGTGCAATCCTCGGCACGTAGCACACGGAACACGGTTTACCAGATGCGTGCTGCATAGTGCATGTGACCTTTCAAGTTTCAGGATAATCAGCAACGTAGGATAGGAGCTTAGGCCAAACCGTATACACGTTTCCAGATGGGTCCGTTAAGGAAACTGACCTGAATCAGTAGATTAAATAGAAATGGTTAGCGTTAATGTAGTACATCAAAACATTGGCATCCGTGCCCAAAACAATAATCTGCTTGTACAAAGGATTACACTTGCGCTTTCAACTCACTCTTTTGCTGCCAACTTCAGTGAGCGAAGAACAATTTCAACACACTTCTGGAACAACTCGGTTTTCTGCGAAGACTCCATATCGTGATCGGGCTGCGGGATCAACGCAATGAGTGCTCTCCCATGATCCTTCCATCGGAGCTCTTCACGGATGTTGTAGCAGCTGAGGTACATAGGCCAGGCCTTGCAACGCTTGTTACCGCTAAGCTGCATTTCGTCACTCGAGAGGAGAATCGGACAAACACATTCCATGTCTCCCATGACTTTCTGTGGTGACGTGTAGAATAGGATGGGAACAGACATTGGTGCAATCAAGTCAGGATGGAATAACATGTAGAAATAATATAACAATGCCATCGACAATGCATATGCCAA